AAAATACGATGTTGCTTTCTTTCAAACCCACAATTAGGGCTCACTTTACCAAAGGCCACGGCACTTGGCTCATCCCTGTGCCAATTCAACTCAGACATACTGCGCAGCGCAGCTAACTCCCTAGACGGGCCTTCCACCCCCTAATTTTCCACTTAAGTAAATTAATGATCAGGAAAGATGGGATACACCCAGAAGACAGAAAACCACTTATTCAGCAAGACAAAAATGGACACGCTGGCACAGAAACTTATAGTTGAAAGTGAAATGCATCCTACAAAGAATCCCAGATTTCAGCTGCCTGCTAACAACAGTAAATATTTCAGGGATGTCCCTAAGATGATATCTACTGAGGACAAATAGTACCTCCTTGTCAAAAGCAAAGAGGCTGGTCTGATAGGGAAGAGACAGTTCTTTTATCCCTCTAATGGATTTATTCCCCTATGTTCAATATTTCTCAGAAAGGATGTCACTTCCACAGAGAATTCTGCTGCTCTACATTTTAAGAACTCAAATGTTCCAGTGAAGCTCAGCTTAGAATTCAGAAGCTGATGGAGAAAACAGGAAGAAAAAAAAAATAACTGGTGGTTTAGAATGCTAAAATCCTTCCAACTAAAAGACAGCAGCAACTAGGAATCCAGAAACACATTGATGGAGCTAACTGTAACCTCACATACCTTCTGGATGTAGGCATGTTTATGCTTTGCATGCCTATCTTTTCACATGCAAAAGACAACATCTGAAATGTATGTAACTTAAGAGTTTGCCCTGTAGTCTTAACTATCCTCCCATAAACTTAACCAACAAAAATAATAATTAACATAGGTGCCTCATAATCCTTCCAAAATATTTTCTTAGTAAGAAGGTAAGTAAGGATTGTTTTATCATTCAATAGAAAAAGACGACTGCTTAATGTGGGTCTGTGCCAATATACGAAAACTATTTTAAATTAATATTTTTGCAGTGATCTGGAAGATCATGAGCCTAAATGCTGAACGCTCCCTAGCTGCAAACTGGCTCTGCCCTGAATCACTGTGCAACCCTGCATATTAAAAATAGGAAGAGGAAAGAAAGTCAAGATAGAAATTATTTAAGCACATTAACACTTATAATTCCATACTATTCAAGAAGCTGGAATGTCCCAAATTAAATTTAGGACAGAAACAGACTTAGATGCACCCTTACTAAAAGGTCTGCCTCGGAAGACAGCACAAAAGGCAGCAGCACAGACACAGGGCAGGGGTGTGCAAAGCCACCAGTGGCACACTCACTGTGCCTGGCACTAGGACCTCCCTTTAGGGCATCTTCTGCAATCCTCAGGGGAAATCTCCTTCCCATGGCAACCAGGCCTTCTCAAATCTTTTTAATTAAAAGGATTTAGACAAAACCAAGCATTTCCACTTTACATGAAACCTAGAGAAAATGTGGTTCACCAATAACATCATGGAGGAGTTGTAAAAAAAGGAAATTTTATGTGTTTGAGGTAATGTAACACACATAAATAAAGTGTAGCTACCTAACTTGAACTGATAAGAGTTTTACTGCAGCCCACACCTGGATATCTGATAATGCATGTAAATATAAGCTTTTAACATATGCCACGAGGAAGAATCAAATAACAACACAACCTTGAAACTGAAATTAATATTAGTGCACATGGAGATTTTTTTCAGAGGAAAAAAAGGAAAACAAAGAAATGGTGCAAAAACTATATAAAAGACAAATTGACGTTGATGCCTAATAAATGGAAAATCTTACCCTGTATGATCCTACAGTTTGCAGAAAACTGGCACAAGACAATATTTAACCTTGGCCTACAAGCATGCATCACTTCATTAGCACAGATTTGTAATTTAAGGTATCGGGGTAGGCAGGTTCACATGAAGCCCCAAGGAATTCGTGCATTTGTAAGAGATACATACACTTACATTCCTTCTCATTGTGAACACCTGCACCTATATTTAACTTCAATGAAGTTTTCTGTCTAAAGCTATCCTTGGAGCTGTCAACATCACTTGGTAATGCCAGTGCTGGTGCACTCATAACAATTGCAAAAGCTACAATACATATTAAAGAAAAGGCCATTTTGTTAATGTTTTGAGCCATCATTTAATTATCAGGTAAAATACCACATAATTTTTTCACAGAAATTAATTAATCAGAAATGAAAAATTATCCAAGTTTTATGTTCTGATTGACGTTATCTCGGAAATATTGTATCACATATTCATTTGAACTAAAAAGTGGATATAAAGGGGAAATATCAAGAATATCCTAAAAATGCTAGTATTGATGTTGTTTTCAGTTAGCAACTTTTCTCTTTCTTAATTTCATTAGGTATCAGGAGACAGCTTTGAAAACTTCATTCAGTTTCCCTGCACAATTTTATTAATACCTAGATTTTGATCTCCTTCCCTCTATAAATTCATCCTGTAATCCCACAATGCTAGTGCAGAAATGTCATTCAAATCTGGAACTCCAAAACCCGAAATACAGTCATCTAAGTAATGTTGAGGTTTGTTTGTATTTGACATTTCAGAAACTTGGCCAATGCACTTCAAGAAAGAAAAATGTCTTGCACTTGACACCGGAGTGGTCTACACACAAATAGCCACTGCCATCAGAATCACTCCCAAACAAAACTAACTGACAACAAAAAAAATGATTAATGCTAGAAAAACGCAACAGGAGTGACACAATTAGAGTAAAAACAGACATATAATTTTTAAAAGGCACAGAAACATTCAGAGAAAAATAGAAAATTATCATCAAACTACAACACACTATGCATGGTTAATGTGAAAATCTATCCTGAAAGAACTGGGGCACTAAAAGGAAACAAAACAAAGCAATCTGCTACCTCACTGTACAAAAAAAGCTTTGACCTAAACATGCCTAAAGCATGGTTTCTAGTTCAGTAGCTGCAACTCAGATCAAATCCTGATGCACACTGGTTATTCATCTGAAATATCACTACTGCAGCTGCTATATTAATCTACCCTTTAGTAGTATTTCCTCCTTCTTCTCCTATGTCCTTTGCTTAGTGCAACACACTCCCTAGAAAGGATGTGGCCACCATGGTTAAACTTTCAGGAAAAGAGCATTAGTGGCATTTAGATGATATGCTTTCTTTTCCTTTCTTCTGCTTTACCAGTTGCAAACATCTTAATAAAACTAACAGTGGAACAGGTCTTGTTTCAAAGGGTGATCATTTAACATATACTCAAGTGCTCTTTACATTTTTAATCTTGCCAAACATGCCCCTATAAACAAGCATTGTATTACAGCAGTACTAATGATAAAATGCCAAAGTAGCATTGAGAACTTTATAAACATATGAACCTAGCTGGCAAAGCCACAAGTCAAACAATAAAGGACTGGGAATGTACAGGGTTTGTTGTTTTGGTTTTTTTTTTTAATTACACATTCATAGCAATAAATATGCAAGCATGTTGTTTTCAACTGCAACGCTACTTAATTTTCACCCCAAATTTTACAGCAACACCTATTTCATCTTGGGGACATTAACTGTTCGAGGATGGAAACATCACATCTGTTGCATATTACATGCTAACAGTGCTGAATTACAAAGGTTTTGATCCGTTTGGAGGAAAAGGTAGGGATTTGTTCTTCTGCAAAGAATAACTACTCCATATGCAAACTCACTGGATAAAAGTCAACTTATGGAATACATGAAGTACTCTGGACCTGGCAACAGGAGACAGCATCTCACCAATTTACCCACAAAGATATTTTAAAAGTTAGATCCAAATTAAACTGAAAGCAAAAACCTTTGACATCAGGTCCTAAGCAAAAAAATGGTTTTTCAGAAATAACACATTTGAAATTTTCAACATTCAAGAAGAGTATTCTGTCTGGGTTCTCCCATAAGACATTATCACACAAAGCTCTCTTTAGCAGGTAAACATAGTTCTTTAACAAAACTATCACACTGCAAAATATTCCAGAGGTCCAATTTGCAGCTTAGCACCACCCCACCTTAAAGCACTCCTAGTTACACATCTTTCAGGAAAGGCCAGAATCTCAAAGAAAACAAAACACAACCTTACTAACACACCAAAACCAACCGCAATACACTTGGAAAAATCCCCAAACCACCTTTTCTGCAGTGAAGCAGCCGAATGGGAACAGTAAAAAAAGGTACAGTTAGTATAGACTCTAACTAAGGGTGATAGAGGGATGTATCAAACAAGCTCATTCTGCCAACTTAATGATTTAGCTTAAAGAACTGGGAGTTTTCCTCCTGACTTCTGTCAGAGTCAAGTACATCTGTTGAGCGCACTTGAAAATTCTGCCTCTTGTAAGGTAATCTCTCCCTCTCCATACAAGAATTACCAGGGAACTCAGTGGAGAATTATATATTAAAGAAAAGATGACACTAGTTTTGTGGAAAAATCAATCACAGTCTCCAAAACAGCTAGACATGAATGACTTAATATTTTCCTTTGAACACAGTATTTTTTTATATACATATGTATATTTATATATGTACCAAGGTATCACAATTTAAGTACTTCTATTTATTTAGCATAATGCCCTTACTCTATTTTAAAGATAATTAAAGTCCAAAATAAAATGATGATAAAAATTCAAAGTAGACAATGGTGTGTTTTCAGCTTCAGTACAGATTGAAGAGATTAATGAAGAAACAGAATTTGACCTTTCAATAAACCTGTTCAAAGTTGATCCTATTTCACAAACAGGTTTCCAGTTTTGCTTTTATAAATAATGGATCATTAACTTTCAAACAAACCAGTGTGCAAGATTCATGAGATGCATTTGGATATTCGTTCATGCCTGTGACCATATGGTACAAGTTTAGCCACATTTCCAATAAGCACAGCATGCAGACAGGTAGGTTCTATCGTGCTTACTATTGCAGCAAGTACTCGTTACTAGCTTAAACTCTTTCAAAGGAACTACTTTCAGTCCATCAAGTAACTCCACCACTCCAAGAGGAATCTGGAGCTCAAATTACTTACCTGTGAACATAATGCAACTGATGAACTGAATCGATGGCTATCACCATTTCGGCCAAATAAAAACGAGCCATATCTTCGGGTAGTCTGTCCTCAAACTTGCTGAGCAATGTAAGCAGGTCTCCTCCAACATAGTAATCCATAACCAGGTACTGTGGAGTGGGAATGGTAAGAAAACAGAGAGGGGAAAAAAATACCACAATTTATTGTGGGAATCACAGATTAAAAACTAACTGAAGCATAAAAACTAATATATTGCAAAAAATATTATGGGCATTAAAAAAAGCTAACCAAGATACTCAGATGTTCAGAAAACAGTAGCTGGTTCAGCTGCATTTTAATACTTAGCCTACTTGAATATATTTCGTATTTATACCTCTCCAAATACAGTAAGCCTCATGACAAAATAGTATCAACTTTAACCACTGTCCCATCACTAAATATGGAATATTTAGATACTCTGGATTCCCTTATGAAGACAATATCCTTTGCTAGAATGCAAAAGGAGTAGAGGATTAAAGCACAGACCTATAAAAATTAAACTAACTCTATTAATTTGTAATCTCATTTATTTCCCAGGCTTCCCTTTCCCTTTTTTCCTACCATCTTCTTTTTCCATTAAACAGATACTTTTGGAGAGTAAGGTTTTTAGACTACTCAGATTAAGGTAAAGTCTGAGAGACCTCCAGTGGCCCATAGTTCCAGAAACTGCTGACATTGCTCATGATACAGGATCTGGCAACATAAAATACAAGATGTTACCTTCTCTAGTTGAAATTATGGAGAAAAATAAATTTGATTTCTGGTGTATTAATGAAACAAAAAACTTACTTGCCATTAAAGCAGATGACTTTAAAGAAATCAAAACCTTTCTGCACTTTACTGTATTTACAGAATGAAATGTCACTCTTTTTAGTGACAGTCAATATGACTAGAAAAAGTGAAACTTAAGTGTGAAACTCGGGACTAACATATTTTTAGCTTAGCTTAGCTTGTTTTAATTGTGAAACAGCAACTGGAAGGGCAAATGGGGAAAAGAAAAAAAATCAAACTAATAACTAACAAACTAATTATAAGCATTCTAATTTAACACGCACTGATATGACGTTACTTTCAAGCATCATTGTGGACAGATTAACTGGAATCATAGAATATTCTGAGTAGGAAGGATCATCAAAGTCCAGCTCCTGGTTCTGCACAGGACAGCCCCAAGAATCACATCATGTGCCTGCAAATGAATTCCCAATGAAGTACAGAGTACCTGAAAGCTACTGCTTAGAGTTCCAATCTCTGTTTCCAGGAAGGTTGCATTAGAAGCAGTGACTCTTAACAGGAGTATAAATACTAAAAAATATTAAAGATGTAATAATGTATATCCCAATTTGATTCTTTAAAATTTTGATAAAGCAACTTAAAGGAGTTTTTTTTAATTTGTTCCCTGTATTTGTTTAAGTCTTTCCCATTTTCAGAAAAAGACACTAAAATATGTGGAAAAAAATCTGCTAAATTATACCAGCTATAAGGAGGATGAGGTGCAGGCAGAAATCTTACACCTGTTTCTTTTCCCTCATACTTTCCGTAACAATAAGGGTGATGAACAAAGATTTTAACACCCTAATACAGAATAACTTGGGCATTCTCATCGATTCCAAGTGCATGAAGAAAGTGCAAAATCCATTTCCACAAGACTTTAAACGTGTTGACAATCAAATTTTCATCTGCTGCTTTGTGACATGAATAATAAACTTCTTAAATTATGCTCACAAGCCTTTTACAAGATAATACCTTGTAAATATCTTTACAAGATAAATATCTTCTATTCAGTGGTACTCCTACGCTCCCTCCAAAACAAGATCTATAGTATTAGTTTCTTATGTTTTACAGTTTTACAAAAATACATTAAGCCTTTGGAGCTTCAGTTATTCATTATTAACTGATGTATATTGTATAGACATCTCCAAGAGCTTAACTTATTGCTTTGAAAGCATACTGAAAAAACCTCTTAAGATTCACCTAGCTGATGTGGATCTGTACACTCATTCTTCAGGACTTTTAAAACCCACACAACTAAGTTACTGGATATACCAAAAAATGCAATTTTGGTTCTCATGACACAGGATTCCCATTTTGCTGGAGCCACACAGTAGTCTAATGATAAGGAAACCTTCAACTATTCAAATAATCCAACAATGAAACCGTACCTCAAAGTATTAAGTTGTGTAAAGGAAGTTAAACACATGTATAGCACTGAGAATTAAATTTAACAACTGAATTTTAAATTAAAAAATTCCATCAATGTATAACATCCTATCCAATGTCAACTATCCATATTCTTAAAAAAAAAAAAAAGATTTTTTTTTAAGCTTTAAAAATGCTTTCTAAATGTACATAATCAATCTAGATCTATCCAAGTCTCAAATACTTCTCAAAACCATAGATTTAAGAACACTAAATTCTAGTAACTAGTGGAAGTTTAACATGGGAATTTAATACATTTAGTTTGGCTGAGATATCTTGAGATATCTACTCCAGCCTCATTTGTTCACATAGGGTCCGCTAGAGAAGGCTGATGATGACTCAGTCCAGTTCGGTTTTGAGTATCTCCAAGGCAAGAGACTCCACAACTCCTCCCTGGAACTTGTTCCTGTGTTTGACTACCTTCACAGTAAAGACAGGTTTTCCTGTGTTCTGATGAAACTCCATGTATTTCAGTTTGTGTCCACTGTCTCCTGGCCTCTCATCAGGCACTACTGAGAGGAACCTGGTTCCCCTGTCTTCATTCCCTCCCATCACTTATTTATACACATTGATGACAGCCCCTCTCCCAAATCTCCATTTATTTGGGCTGAAGAATCCCAGCTCTCTCAGCCTCTCTTTATATGAAGGATGCTCCTGCACCTTAATCATCTTTCTGGTCTTACACTGGACTTGTTCCAGTAGTTCCATCTCTCTTTTGCACTGGGGAGCCCAGAACTGGACACAAAACTTCAGATGCAGCTGCAGTAGGGCTGAGCAGAATGGAAGGACCTCCACTGACTGCTGGCAACACATTTCCTTGCAGCCCAGAATACTCCTGGCCTATTTTGCCGTGAGCCTGCATTGCTGGCTTACAGTTAAGCTTGTTATACACCAGGACCTCAAGCAAAGCTGCTTTCCAACCAGTTGGCCCCCCAGCATGTACTGGGTTTATTTTATTACATCCCTTGTTGAACTTCCTGAGATTTCCCTCTGTCCAGTTCTCCAGTCTGTCGAGGTCTATCTGAATGACTGCACAGCCGCTTCTCCCTATTTTTTTAACACCTGTGAACATGGTGAAGGTGCACTCCGTCCTATTGTCCAGGTCATTTACAAAGAACTTGGCACCAGTTTTGATCCCACCAATTGGCCTCCAACTGGACTTCGTGTGACTGATCACCAACCCTGGGCCCAACAGTTAATTTTCACTCCACCTCACTGCTGCTTATCTAAGGCACACTGGTCAGGTTGTCTATGATGATGTTCTAGCAGACAGTGTCAACATCCACTGCTCAACCACATCTGGTGCTCAAATCTACAAATTTTTTTTTTTTTTTTAAGGTCAATTTTTTACACATAATTTTAATAAAAACCATATAGAGAATTAGTGATACATTCACACTAAAAAGATACAAACACCCCCAGTATTACTGATATTTTCCCCAGCAGGCTGCAAAACTAGCTCCTGTTAGCAGACTATCAAAGGTAAAGAACAGAACTTGCTCTGTGCTTAGAGAAAATAAGGAAACTGGTAAAAATAAAGTAAGTTCTAATAGGTTGTGGAATATATAATATTTTCTTTGAAATACTCTTAATGGTAAGACCAGAATTACAAAAAAACATGAGATTTTTTTACTGTCCCCATTAACAAAGCATGAAGCTGGCTGGGAGGTATTTAAGCCAACAGTCAGACTCACAAATGCAGAGCCCAGTTTCTATACAAATTCACCAAAATCCATGGATTTCCAAGTATCTGAGCTGACAGAACAGAATGCAATATAATGGCATATACAAAATATGTAAATGGCAATATAAAAAGCATTGAAAGTCTGCAAGAATTCCATGTATAGCACTTCTTTTATTGGACAGATTGGGAGCAAAAAAAAGGCTGTGGCTGTATGGTAGATTTCTAAGAAATTATTAGAATTACTAACAATATAGAATCCAAAGCACAGGGCAATAAAACACAAATAATCAAAACCCATCAATGTGTAGTTGTTTACTTTTCAGGTATAAATATTATCAAAAGTCTTATCACAATCAAAACATATTTAAAGTGGCAAAGATTTCATAGAAAATGGGCACTTTGTCCTCATATTAGCTTTTTTCTTGCAAGTCTTTCAAAATACTTGAAAACTAAATAACGTCAAAGAGACACTTTAATCTACAATTATAGCTTCCAACTCTTATTTATGAAAATTTAGGGGCATTCTTCCATGCTGCAATAACATTTTATCGCTTTATGACATCTTAGTGGGCTTAAGTCCTCAAAATAGCAAAGACCAATCAAAATGAACTGTTGTTTCAAACAGGGCTACTCCGTATTTCCCTCTGTAAGATCAGCAATGTTAACCACAAAAATTAAAGTTGAATAGAAAATTTATGTTAGTAAGTGCACTTTTACTTTTATGAACCCAATTAAACTGGAGTGACAAATTGTAAGAAAGAATATGCAGGCAGACTAAGGTTTATCAACAAATGCAAAGTGGTTTAGAAAACAAAGCTGCATTTATAGCAGAACTTTTCAAAGTTTCTGACCGGTCTCCACCATTCAGAATCTTATGCACAACATCACAGATCCTAATATGGTCTGTATGGTCCAGAACACAAAATTAACAAATAAACAAACTACATTTCTGTCTCAAACCACAACCAAGAATCTGCATGTTCACCCATACATACATAAAAGCAACACTCACTAAATAGTTTTCATCCTGGAATGCATAATGTAATGTTGTGATCCACTGGTTATCTCCATTCACTAACACATCTCTCTCTTCTCGAAAACAGGCTGTCTGAAGAAGAAAAAAATAATTATAGCCTTTTAAGTAAAATATATAAAGAAAAACATGTTTTGACTATTTTTTTTTTGGGGGGGGAGGGGAATCAAAACCGCCTCTCAGTTAAAAAATCATTTATTGCAGTATCCAAACATGACAAAATCTACAAAAAAATAAATATGAGAAAAGCCTGCCTTCTTCAAATTTAAACAGTTGTGCTTCTCTATAGCGTTTAGTGAGGCAAAGAGATAAATAAGTTGCTGCTTCCCATTGTCTAAAAATCCTAAGCCAAAATCCTGAAGTATCAATAATGACAGAATAGCAATATATGATTAAGAAAAAAAAAAAATCAATAATGGCATTAGATAATTTTAACTGCAGTAGGAGTCAGAGTGCTAGAATCTGGAGTCTTCTGTCATTGTTTTATTTCATCATGCCCTTAGCCTAGTTTTACATTTGAGTTTTCACATAAGCAAGGTTCTTTTCATTTGAAAGTTGCTGCCAATAACTTCCATGTAGTCATCATTTGATAATCATTAACCAGTTGGGGTTTTCTCCACACCCGATACTCAGCAAAAGTAGAACAGAACTGAATATTGCTCTTGCCAGATATAAACTCTTGATGAGACATCCCAGGGGGTTTCCCCTCAATATACTTGAAAGAAAAAAAGAAGGCAAGAGGTGCCTTCACCGTAAGTGGAACAGAGGAGGAGCAAGAACCACCAATAAATGTTAAGGAATACCTAAGAGAAGGAGAATACAGGTTTGTATGAAACAAAAGAAGATAAAATGTGAAACAAATAACGAAGTAAAAAGCAGCAAGGTATTTAATTCAATGAAGGTCTTTCAACTTGTCCTGAGAAGTGAAAAAAATACCTCAGCAAAAGCAACTCTGCAGATGAAAAGACAAAAAGAAACTACAGCAAAGAAATAGGATAAATCTTTCGAAGGAATTGAGTTCTGAAGCGAATATGACAAGAAAGCAAAAGGTACCAAATACCAAAGCCAACACACAATTTTGTTATGAAAAAAATATCTAAAAGATAGTGCAAAAGAAAGAATAACATTGTATGGGCTGTATTTAGAAGGCAGAGGGAGAGTTAGAGACAAACACAGACCATATTCTCTTCCAGCACACTCTGCTCTTCACAAAGATGTTGCATCAATTTGAACCCTTGCTCTTATCTCTTCCATCTTTGAGATAGTCAAATTCAAATGAAATTCAAGCCTTTTCTTTTTATTTTTTCAATTTGATTTCCAAACCCAAATAAATCCCAAATCTGGAAATATCAGAACTTTAGCACAGCTATTGCTGGCTGTGAGATTTGGAGAGTGAAGACCAAAAAGTGAAATATCATTAGAGACTAAGCTATGCACAAGAATATATGCAGTAAAAAGAGAGCAGAAAATAACTCTCTCCTCCGAGCAAATAAACTATACTTTTTTTTTGGTGAATACAGTGAGTAAGAATAATGCAGACGAGGAAAAAGAAAGATGACATACTTTAATCATAGCACAATGCACGAGATAAATCAGTGAAATTTGAGAAAACAGCAAAACATACTTTATACAAATACCTTCAAAGGTTACTGAATGAAAAATAGACTTGGGGTGGGAGAAGGAGTAATGATCATCTTCAGAAAGAAGAAAAGCTGTTTGATGCTTCAGCTTGATTTTTTTCCTTCCTTGTTTGTAAACTCTTTGACATATTTCAGAGAGAGATAACTATGAACTCTTGTTTTCACAAGTATAAATAATATGTACTTTCTCTACTCGTTATGACACAATTCATAGGATTAGTTATTAGAGAGTTTATATAATTCCACTTGGTTTTGCCATGATTTAACAGAAGACTATGCCATTCCTTGAGTGCTCTAGACATCTACCTCCAGGAAGTATGCCTAGAGCTGAGAGCAACAGCTATTACCACAGTAGATCACAGGTGAGACAGTAACAGCTAGTCTAAGTGGTTCATGGCAAAAATAATGCAACAACAACAAAAGAAAAGTTGGTAGCAGTAGTTCTTTTAATTGCTCTAACAGCTCAATTAAGCTTTTTTTTAAATGAAGCCTCTTTTTTTTGTGCCTTTCATTATTCCAGCATTAACTTCACCTTCCCCAGGCAGTCTCCTTGAATTGTTGGCAGAAACCTCCAGAGGTCATCTGACCCTACTCTCTTTCACAGTAAAGCCATCTCAGTGTTCTGGTTATATCTATACCGTTATCATGGCCTTCAAGAAGCAAAGAATTTGACCTGCTCGACTGTTTGGCGCTCATGTCTTACAGCTCGGAGTTAGCACCTCCAGGGAGTGCTGACTGCTTCCATGCTGCTAACATTTGTCCTGGTCTCTCCTGAGCCTCATCTGGCACCAGTGTGGCACACATGTAACTCTAAGTGACTGTCAACGCTCAGGGTAACAGGTTTGGGAGTGCAACAGCAAGCTGTCATACACTTCCAGGTACTCCTTGTATCAGTAATGCTCCCAGTTCTACATCCCACCTCTGAGTTTTCAACAGTGACAAGTATCTGGAAAATTTATGCTACGTATAATACAAAAGAGAACACTGACTTTACAACTTGTGTAACTTCATTGTAACATACAACTGCTCTCAGAGTTTGCAGTCGTCAAACTTTGTCTGGCATTCATGACCCTCTTCTGAGCATGTATTCCCTTTTTACTTTGCCCAATGACTCCCACTCCCCATGCTGTTGATACAGGGGTATACGAACATACACATCTATCTGTATGCTGCTCTTGCATTTTTGGACTGCCTGATTTTCTTGTGTATTTCAGTGTTAGTGCAGCACACAGTTAGCAGAGCCAAAATGGGTCATTTTCCCCAGGAGCAGTAAGAAGTGAGTTCATCAACATTTAAAAATGACAGGTTAGGGTTGTGGAAGGTCATGCTTTGTAATGCATTTTCACTCCAGATGGTTCTCTTTCCACTGTATACCCATGGGTTACAAATACATGGAAAAACATAGCTGTAATTCTTTTTAGGCTAACGCTTCAGACTTTCAGAAATTCAGCTGGACCCATGGGAAGAGTATTTTTAATACCTTGCATAGAGAAAAAATTTTCAAACCTATTTATAACTGTATTTTAATGAAAAGAAACAGTTTTCAAACTCACTTTAAAAGAGTACATTTAAAAATAGAGTGGAACTTTATTTCTGGTCTTTTCTTTTTCACTGAAATAATAAAACTTACAGTAGTGACATTTGTCTTGGAGAGAAATACCTCTGTATCAAGATTAATGCTAGATTGCTCAGTATCTGAGTAATTTCTGGATAAAAAGGAAACACATTGTATACATCTACCCACAATCTGCATGCCATTTATACTTCTTAATGTGATAACATTTTCATTAAAAGAGACAGGATATGCACAATCAGAAATTGGCTTTAATTTGTCTGAATACTTTTTTTCAAAAGTGTTACGGTTTCCCATTGATCTCATTTCCTACCAAGATGTAATTAAAACATAAATGCGGAAACCAGAACAAACTTGGAAGCAATTGAACAGCAAGGTAGTCTGAGAGCAACAAAGTTGAGGTCTCAAATAAAAACTGCAACAGTCTATTTTTAGGCATTTTATTTTTAGTATGCATAGATTAGGATTTTAAAGCAAATTAAAGGGTTAGACACATGTTCCATTTAAAATTAATACACAGGTCTTCGGGTGTAGAGACTGCATTTCATAAGTTTCTTTCCAAAGGAATGCAGGGAAATATATCAAGGACTTTATGAAGAGCTGAACTGTATAATGACAGTAGGAAACTAAGGCAAAGCAGGGCTGGTAAAGCTGTTGTTCCACCTTTTTCAGACACAAAATGGACTCCAGTTTTAATGAGGAACTTTTTATCACAGATTTTTGCAGATGGACATTTTACGAAACATGCACTCAAATTTGCAACTTTTATCTTTCTGATTTTTCAACCTACTAATTGGGCCTTGACTAAATTCTAACTGCTGATAAACTAATAGGTTTGGTGAGTTATAGCTCAGCAATTACCTTTTTAAAGCTCAGTAACTACCTTCCATGATGGAAAAGACTTGCTAAAGACTACATTCCTAAGTGGAACAAATGCATTTAAAGATCACTTGTGGAGCTGGTAATTCTTGAGCAATTACAAAAAAGGTATAATGTCAAAAACATCCAGTCCCACCTAAGTCAAGTTTCCATGCCATTTTAACCCTTCTGATGAACTGTTTTAAGCTTATTTAATATTAATGTTTATACTGTCAGTAAATTGTGAAGCACCTCCTCAACCCCTCTAACACACAGAGAGTCTCGTGGACAGAGAAGTGACAATTCAGCAAAGTAAGGGGGTGTATGATCATGGAAAACATTACTGTAATCTTACTTCAGCTCTCTTCAGCATCTCCCACTTATTAAGTATCTTCATGGCAAAAACCTTATCTGCATTCTTCAGTTTTACCACTGCAACCTGGAAAAGGGAAAGATAAATAAGTTACAACATGAAAACACATCTTGTTTTCATTTTTATGTAATCTTTCAGTTTTGGAGGTTTTGTCCTGAGTGTTCCGGACATGTTTTTACCATCCACACAGTATCAAGCCATTGCCATCAAGAAAGAAATATCACAACAACAGAGGAAACTTCCACGTCTATTGTAAGCTTTCATTATGTATCACAGTCTCACTATGTATCATTTTTTCTAGGTGACTGCCAATGAACAATGGTGTTTCTGAGCATCACAACTCTTGCTCTATCACACTCTAATGAGGCTGTCTCTGGCACTGTGCTTTATGTTCCTGGACTTCAGTCTACACACTAATTTAAATTATAGAGGCGTCAAGAAAAGGTAACAGCATAGCAGACTGTAAATCAAAACAAACAAGGTATTTGGGGTTTTAAACAAAATCAGTCTGTAGATTTGCCATAAAACAACTTCCACTCTCATTTCATATAACATACCAGATTTTCTTCAAAGGTAGTATGACTTCATACTTTTCTCCCACCTGACGTTCAATGAGCTCTTTATCATGCCTGTTGTCAGTAGCAGGGAAACAGTGAAATCCACAATTTCTAGAGAAGTAAAACTTAAGGAACACAAGCCTGCCCACCTGCCCCTCCTCCCCCCATAGCTTCTGAAACATTAAATATCATAGGCCTCTGTAATAATAAATTAACGAAGTTCACTGACACAGTCCTTTTCTGAGAATAGTAGTTTTGTTTAGCTATAATATAAGCTAACATAAAATATTTTTAGGAAAAAGGGAGGGAAGAAGTATACACAAATATGTTCACACAGTTCAGGCTTCCGTGGGTATGGAAAGCTCATACTCATTTAACCAAAATGAGTATGAATCTGCCACAAACTCAGAGCTGCTAAACAAAACTAGACCATCTGGTCTAGTGCAGACCACTGCACTATCATCCCAACTATACAAAAGTTCAGCAATCAATACATTTTAACAACCATTCTCCAACTATCCTGTTCTGCCTCTTCCCTTTCAAATAAATCTTAATGCTTATACAGATAAAAGTTTATTTCTGTGTGCATCTGGTTACAAACCAACATGCTGTCATACAGATTATCATCATCTTCATCCTGCAGACCAGTGACAAAAAAATACGAAGGTTGAATCCTACGTTCCTTTCACCTCTTTCATAATCAGTAAACCAGCTATGTGTGAAGACAGTGATAACAAAAAAGAAAATACAGGATCAGACAGTTTGAAGAAAGTGTCAGGTAAACCTCTTTCAACCATCTTCAAATGTGTCATCAGCTGCAACAGCTTCATGAACACGGTAAAAGTGCAGGCTGAAGGACTGCAATACTGTGATGTCTAAGCCAAAGCATATCTCCAAGTGTTCCTCTTGCCTAGCTATAGGCTCACAGACGGAGCAGCTGTCACTTCCCATATGTGTGGCACCGCATTATCAACCCTGCTCTTGACACTGCTGCCTCCTGGGGTTACGGGGGTGGGAATGGGGCAGGGGGGGCGGAGGAGATAGAAAAAAGAGATAAGGTAGAAAAAAAGGAGATGGGATAGAAAGGTACTACATTTACTTGTTTAAACTAGTCTACGGACTGAAATTCTTAAAGGTTACTTCATGTATGAGGTTCAAGTTCAGACTTGGGATCCCTCGAGGAACTTTCAGTTTTGAAACACAAAAATAGATTATTAATTTAGCCTAGAATATAATAATTTTGATTCATAAAGACTGTGTGCTCTGCTGTGCACAGTACCCAAAGACTGGGCATCACAACTTTCTTTAAGAGGGAAAATATGAATCCTCTACAGTGATATATAAGCCACAGTGCAGATTTGATCCTCATTCTCCTTTTACTTTACCATCTAAAACTAGTTGGAAACTCTGGTAAGCCATTATCTGTATCAACTTCTAATGACAAATGGCAGGAGGAGAAGGTTTTAATGTTGCAACTAGTCATCATTAAAACTGTATCATACATAACTTGGATGAGTTCTGCCCTAAAGACCTGTAAGGGTTTTGGGACTGATGCAGGGAAAAATTAAAAGGTTGCTCCTCAAGCTGCCTAGCTGTTGCTGTCCAGCATGAAAAATAAGTTTTTCTCCACCATTAACCATTGTAGGAGAGGTACCCAGAGGCATAAGACAATACATGTATTTCAAGGCCACCTTCAGGATTTCATTTCTTGCCTGTTGCACGCCCAATTCTGCAAAGGCTTTTATTCTGCAAAGGACTCAGTTATTGAAAGACATACACTAACTGCACTGCTACCTAAATTTGCAGCCTCCTATTCAGCATTCACTTGGACACAACTCTAAGAGCTATGGCACTACCTTTGGTGAACAGCTGGAGCACAGGCCTTCTGTGGCATGATCAAGGGCTCGGTACCTTCTGTGAATGTGTAACAGCATTGAAGAGTGACTAAAAACAAAAATAGACTTGTGCTTACCAGCTGTGTTTACAACCAGTCAGAAGCTGTCTTTTAGTCTGTGAAAGCCATTAACTTTATTCCATATCAATAATCAACACACAGACACACAAAAGAGACACAGACCTCATCATCTTTCTGCAATCACAGCATCTTTTTGGGGGTGTCTCAGTGCTTTATGAAAGTAAATTCTAAAATGTTTATTCCAAGGCTATGAAAGAAAAACCTGACACTTCAGCGATGAGTAGTGCAGTTTCTAACTGTAACAAAAAATTCAGAATCACGATTACAAACCCAGGCAGTGTTTACATATACACAGAGGTATCTACTACCTATACAAAGGCACAAATACACAGAGAGTGCTGTTTTGATCTTTTCCCTTCACCAGTGAAGCTGTCAAGACAGAAGAAAGGGCAATCATTCCTGTCTAGTTATCCTAAAGTGTCTTGCTACTGGAACTTCTTAAAATTAGACTTTAAAAAGTTGGGGTTTATTTAAATTTATATTTTCCTGTGAGCAGCCCAGGAAAAAAATGATTGGTATGTGCTGATGTAAATATCTTGGTTTAGTCAGATATGTTGGTTTGGTTCTTTTTCAATTCTTCCAACAGTTTTCCATATTTCCCACAAACAGCAGTATAGTTTGGCATGCTGTCAAACACCTTGTGCCCCAAGCTTGGCTACTTGTCTCTACGATACACTTTTCCTTCACTTAAAAATCAACAGCCTTACATAGAAAAAAAGCTAAAACAGAAACAATTCAAATGACAAAAAAAAAGAAAAAGAAGAAAAAAGAAAGTAGAAAAAAGATTCAGCATTGGTTTTCTTGCCCAGCAAGAGCAGGTAGACCTCCAGAAACAAGAAGAGGGAATGCTACTGTTTATAACTATATGACAAAATCTAGGAGTAACTGACTAGTTCTCAAGTTACAAAATTTATCATCTTCAAGATATCAACAATATAAAGATGTAATATTTGCTTGCATAAGCATGCACTGAACTTTCTTTTTTAAGCAATAATAGAATCAACTGAAAATTCTGGTATTAGCTAGAACCAAGAGCTGTTGCCCAGTTGCTTCACCATTCCTAGCAGCGTTCTTCCAACTCCCAAGTTTAAAGTCTTTCTGTTTAGAATTGTTTGTTAAGTTTTTCAGACTGTGCTGCTCAAAGCCAGCTCAATGAAACCCTTGAAGCCCACATTATTAATTTTACCAGCATAATCCTGCTCCTCCCCCAAGCAAAACATCTGTGCTTTCTAAAGACAGCGTTATGGCATAAAACTGTAAATAAGTAAATGTATGCATACAGAAAGAAGGGGTATGTCAATAATTTGACAAAAAGGAAACGTTCTCAGACTGGTAGAAAACAGCATAAGGGGAAAAACAAAATTAAGTACTAGGAACTCTTAGAGTTACAAGCAGTAACTAGTTTAAACTACTTTTTGTCTACATTAAACTTGTAAAAACAAAAAGGGAAATATTTCTTGACTATGCAAATTGAAGAAATTGAGTAGTGTAAAATCAAAATAAGAACAAGTCTGAGACAGTGCCAAAGAAAACTTGCACTAACTTTGTAGTCTACAGAATTTCAGAATTATGTTGATTCAGGAGACAAAAATTACCCCTCCCAGTAACCTAGAGAAACCTTGGTCTCATTTATAGTTTGCTGGAAAGAAAATACATTCTTTCAGATTTCTTAATCTGCCTCAGTAAATAAAAGTATTTTGCAATTTAATATTAATATAGTTTTTGGTGGTTTAAGTAGCACTAAAATTTAGTGGTCCTTTTTTCAACCTTGCTCAGATATTTACTGGTTATTTTAAAGCAAAATTTGCAATTTCATACAGAAGTTGTCTTCTTAGACAGATGTCTATGTAGGACTTGAAACTTGTTTTTGCTAAGCTAGTAAGAAAATTTAACATATATAATATATATCCTTCCAAATATTTATTAAGTCCTATTTTAGGAACATAAAAACCCAAAATTCTTCACTGAAAGAACTTCAGTTTTTCCTTACTGAAGATTCTGACAATTAAGTAGAGTCATGTTATCCTCAGATAAGGAATTAGAAAGAAACACTGTTCCTAGAGGAGGAGAACTAACCAATTACACAGAGTGTCCCCAGAAGAGGACAGAAAAAGTTACATTCTCACTATTCAGGGGATGATTCACCACAAAGAACTTCCTGAGAAAGAACTATGGTTTCTTTGTGGTTTAGCGGCTGTGGTGTTTGATGCTGATTTAGCAGACAAAAATTACTTCTCTTATAAACAGAATATAAGGCAGGTTTCATGTATGATCCTTCTGACAAGGAAGCACAAATATCAGCAATTTTTCCTATATTTAACACAGTTTGTACATGAACTCAGCTGCAGCTCCTGTGGTAGCACTGACAAAGGCTGATCTTTTAAGCAGAAGTGTTTACATCAAAATGGAGATTGCAACATTCTTTGTGGCAGAGGTTTAGACTAAAGATAAATTATCCGTGAGTAACTTCGGCCTTCAGTCTCCTTTATAAAGAAGCTTTACTCCAGATGGAGCAAAACCAAGAGTGCTAAAGTAGCTAAATAAATACAACTCTTTTTTTGTTATTTTTACAGCTGCCCAACGATTACATTTGCGCGTAAGCATCAGAGTATGTAGTGACACACACTACAGTACAAATTACTGTTCCTTACATACTACCTGTAGGAGTCTACTCTTCCATAATCACAGACTAGTAAAGACTAATTTTCACACACGATGCAAACATGTAAGTGAACCTGAAACCAACTCTTCTCCGTCACATGCCAGAGCCTCCAGAGATTCTCTCTTACCAAAGAGAACTTCCATTTCCAAAGGCAACGAAGACATTGATCAGAAAATCTTTTCTCATTCTTAGGGTTTCAGTTCACATGTATTTTTGGCAGCATGGAGTACCTACTGCAGAAGCTTTACGCACTACCCACATCTGCAGTATATTTGGCTATGAAAATCTCAGGGCACTGCTGTACACTAAACTGTTCTTTCTAAAAGCACAGTGTCCTGCATGAGAAACAAAGCTCATGCACCCAAAATAATTAAGAAAAAGGGGCAGAAAGCTAACATTTATTTACTAAAGTTTCCTCAACCTAGTGATCGACAGCCTTATCTGACAACTTCAAATAAGAGGTAGCTTAATCGGAAGCAGCAAAAAATTGTATAGTTTGATAGTGGTAGGTGACTACTGAAAAAGAAACTAAAATCTGCTGAAGTCTTCAAAAGAAATGCAGGACAAATATTCAAACATTCATTAAGAATAGGAAACTAAATGACAGGAAAACAGAGATTTCTCTATGTTCCTAAAATGTCACTATCAATAATTGGTTATTTAAGCTGCTGAAAACTATTAGTACTGTAATATATTATATATATAATATATACTATATACTGGAACAGTACTATAAAGTACTATTTAGTTATTAGAAAGATTAGGAATTACTAGATCTTTATATCATCAGTAACTCACTGGTCTCAAACTACTGGCTGGAAAGAATTACAGTCAAGGAAATGATTTATCATCAGGCAGTCAAAACATGGTTTTTTGATCCATGTGAACTTCTCTCAAAATTTACAAGACTTAAAAGAGTTGTCAAAGAATGTATAAATCAAAATGTCCTTGCATCAAACATTAGGTAGGCCTACAATATCCATTATGGCTAAATAATGTAAAAACCTGTACACTAGTGTATTACTATTATCTGTCTTCTCCTCAGTGCTGTAGATTTGCAAGAGTACTGTTCACACCCTTCCACCTCCTTCACATACATACCTCCCCAAAGGCTCCTCGACCAATCACCTTCAGGATCTCAAAATCTTCTTTATGTAGTCGCATCTGTTTCACTTTAGACGTAAAAGGTTTGGCTGAAAAAAAGGGGAAAAAAAAAATCAATCATAAAAAAAAAAAACCCAAACAACAACCCCCACAAAATCAAAAAACAAGGTAACAGTAACATCAAATAGATGGAATCAAAGCCCCCAAAACAATGGACTTTTTGCTTATACCTATATTCCCTACTGTAATATAATAAAGTTTAAAGTTAGAAATAATGACAAGTAAAAACTAAGCCAAAAGGGTTGTGAGAAAAAGTTTATGAAGTAAGCTTGCTTTCACCTTTTTTTAATTTAAAAAAATATTGTATTAATTGAATATTGTATTCATTGAACACAATACTGTATTCAATGAAAAATTAAAATGTTGATGAATGGTAACTGGAAGGGCAATATTAGCCTGGATGATGTATCATGCAGTATTTTTGGAGACTTCTTCAAGATAGGGGACACTCAATAGTCAATTCTTGGCTTCTGGAAGAAGAGTTGTACTGGAGACATTAACACATTGAGTGGAAAAACTGAATTTGTTAATAAGCTTCATTTCCCTCTTATTTTCCCCCTGTTATAGTATCTTTCAAAGCAGTAAGTCCAACAACTTTGTATTCCAGACAGGTAACCCCTGTGTTCTTTGCAGTAAAACAGTATCAGGAGGACTGTTCCCCTCCTTCAGCCCCATTTAGCACTACAATTAACCAGCCCTGCTTCAATAATACATGCTCTCTGCCTGCATGTAAAACATCCAAGCTACTGATAACTCCACCTCAAAACCTACATAACACAATCTCTGGTAAAAAAAAAAGGAAAAAATTAAAACTTCAAATAATTAAGAAGAAAAAGACGTTCTTTTTAAAATTATTGTTTAAAAATCACTGATACAGATAATCCATCATTCAACTCAGAAGTCTGATATCAATATTCACTTCAAGGCACTACAGCATCCTTGTCCAAAAGCCTACTGTCTACTGTTCAGCAAAGCAATTTTATAAACCAAGTCAAGACACAAGTTACTTGTAGTTTTAATACCTAGAAATCAAAAAAACCCTTTTTTTATCCTAGTCCTTAAAGTAGCATTGTAAATCATATTTGAAAAACAACTCCACAAAAATGCAAGGTCTTACACTCGTTCTGTTAAGCAATCCAGCACACTTCTACTAACATTAGTGGGATAATGGATTAAACCCTTCAAAAATCTCAGGGGTTCCGAAGTCTGAACACAGATTATTTTTCTAAAATATCTCAGATGCCAGAAATCAATTCTCTACCAGGAGTTACATCTGTTATAACTACAGAAACATCCAGGGCTTAGGTCCAAATAGTAAAGATACAGCCATACAACACTGACATTTTCACTTTAATGATACTTTTACTTTACCTTTATAAATAAATCTATTCAAAATATTTATTTATACAACCAAAATAGAGGTTTCGTATTGCATTTTAAACACTTCCAAAATGTAATTTAAACAGAAGTATATTACTCAAGTTCACAGAGATTCACCAAACTTTCAATTATTCTTTTATCCCTTAAAAGGAAGGTCTTGCAATAGAAAAAGCAAGTGATAAGAAAATGTACTGCCTTACTTGGACAGCCTCAGCTGTAGAGTACTAAGTGATTGAATACAAATATTAATACAACTGACAAATACTACTGAACAAATTAAAACAAGCCATTAGGGCCTTTTAACTTGAAAAACAACTGATTGAAAACAAACATGCAGTTCTCAACTTCAACATTTTTTGACCATTATAGGCCTGGCTAGGCTACAAGGCAAAATATCTTGCTAACAAGCAACAGCATAGCTGTTTAAACCACAAAGCTCTTCCTCACTTTATATTCCAAGGAAAGGCCTGTCATTCTTTAATTATTACATTCTGAAATCTTCCAAGGTTCCCATAGGGACACTGGAAAAATAAACATCACTATAACTACTTCAGAAAAATACAGCCGACAAAAATAGGTTTGGAGAAGGTTTAACGATTTGCAGTATCAGCATTAGTGGAAAAGTTTGCAAACCTTCCTTTAATTTTTTTATCACCTCTAGCAAAAGAGATGTCAATGTATAGCGAAGCAGTTTTATGAAGAAAGATACATCCCTAGGGGAAAAAAAAAGAAAATTAAAAAAAAAGGGGGGGGGGAAAGAAGAATTGCCCTAGGAATGTGCCCCAAATAGCTTGTTCCAAAAAAGGTCAATTTGCTTTATCATCAATGTTGTTTGTCTGCTGTGCAAACATCTGCTGTTCTTGTGGCAACAGCAATGTTAAGTGCAGAAAACTTGGCCTGGTCTGGGTCTTGGAAGGCCTGTCTTCAGACAGCCGTGTCACACATCCAGCCTTCCAGACTATGAGGTGAACAGGCAGACTTTTTGCAACCGCTCTGGCAATGTCACACAGGCCGTTACAAAGGGAGCAAAGTGTCAGGCCAGGGAACGGGTCTTCCAAGTGCAACGTGCTCCAAGGGGTCCTTCAAAAGCAGCTCTGCTAAAACAAACAGGTACAAGCTCTCCCCTGTTTACATCCCCATCTCCCTAAAGAGAATCAGCATGAAGTTAACAGAACACAACATCCTCTTTTTCATCAGGAGCTGCGGTTTGCTTGATCATAGATACCAGAGGGACACACTGTCTTCACAGTTTTTTGAGAGCAAAAGGCAGTATGAGCAGTTATTTCCTTTGGTACTTCATTCAACCTACAGAAATACACAGTGGCATAGATGATTTTTTTCTACACACACATCTCTTTTCAAGGTTGCTAGCCATGTGTGATACAGATTAAGGTCCAGCAGCTTGCTGTGCCAAATAGAACTCTTCCTCCTCCAAATGAGGAGTAAGTGTGGGCAGCATGTCCCTTGGCTCTTCCTGGAATTTCAACTCAGTAGGAATTGAAGTTCATTATATAAAAGTTTCAAATTTGGCAATTCTCTATGACCACAAGTCATATGCAGTGTTTATGGAGGAGGTTACTCCAAAAAATATTCCATGTTGCTATCAATCTCTGTGGAGGAGATGGATAGATAAGACTTGACCTATAAAAACTGTTCTGTGAAAACACTTGGCCACTCCACCTGGTCGATACTTCCGATCTAACCCTGCCTGGGAAAACTGCACCACCACCCTCTTGGCAAGATTCCTTTCACTTATTCAACCAATTAAACACGGCAAGAAAAACCAACCTCCCAATTCACCCTCAGGGTAACCAATGTCTTGATGTAGTAAGATAAGCTGCATTTTCAAACAAGGTGAACCTGTCATGACTATTCCTTCAATGTACTGAAGTCTCCATGGGTCTTTCCCCACATTTTATGTTCTTGCCATTCATTCCACTTATGCTTATAACACACACAATAAAATTCAGTAAAAGGAGAATATTACAAGTGTTAGAAATTTAGATTTTTTTTCCCAGTTGAAATTTAATCAGAACTTCACTAGAAGTAACATGCTAAACACAGAGAAAAACAGTCAGGAAGACTCTATCTGCCAAGCCAGGCATGCAGAGGAACGTATGTTCTACCCCCTGGCCCTGAAAAGGAGGATTTTATTACAATTACAACAACCATCCAGCAGAAGAGAGGCAAAACAATGGGTTCTGCAGTAGCGACACTGAGCTTCAACAGTCTGTTTATCATATTTATGTGGGAGGGAAGCAGTTACCAGCATGACTTACAGCACATTTCATTTAATTTAATGTATGTATGGCCAGTCTTCGCAAACGAAGATTTGAGAAAGGTCATTACCCTTCGAGCCTGCGCAGTGGATTTTTTAGGTGAGACACAGTGTGCGCTGAGCTGAGCCCACCCTTTAATCCTAAGGTTCATCTGCCAGGGCTGAGTGAGCTTGGACAGTGGCAGTGAGGTCCTCAGGACGTAGGTTTGTTTAGAGTGACCTTCTCTTAGATGGATGGCCTTACAGGGCTGACGAGCTCCATCTGCCCGGGGGAGTTTCCCTGACCGGGAATCAAACCCGGGTCACAGCGGTGAGAGTGCTGTATCCTAACCACTAGACCACCAGGGGTCCCCCATTTAATTTAAACACAGAGGTTAATTTTCAAACTCTCAGAGATAAAAGTCCACCTCCAGAAGAGCTGACACAGGGACTACAGCGATGTGGTTTATAGCCCAATATAGTTTAATACCATGATTACACCGAACAACATCAAAATATCAAAACAGCACTACTGGATGCTTTACTTGCAAAGTTAGTTTCATACTCCTGCCTTTCTCTCCCTCCAGCTCCAAGTTTTTGTCTGCAGAGCTTGGGCAGGCCAAGCCCTAGAATTCAGATTTTTCAAGGCTAACCTGCTGGCAGAGGAAAGGAGCTAGTCGTGAGCTCCTTCCTCTTCTTCCCTCACCTGCTACTACCCCTTTCCCTCCCCAGAACAGAGCTGCTGTAGGCATGGGCTGAAAAGAACCCAAGTGAGATGAAGGTTATGTTGACTGTTAAAGAAAGTGCTGCAGACTTGGTGCAGCAATTGGAATAGGTCCCCACAACTTATTTAAATAGAAAACAGGACAATGTTTAGGAATTCCTCTTGGTATCTCACTGATGCAATAGTTGCTTTTGAATAAACAGGCTGGCTAACTCTGCTAAGATGGAAGATGAAAGACACTGTACTGCTGACTGCCAGGTTGCAGTAAGATATCCATATCTTACTTCCCAAAGGAATTACAAAACATGCTTCCTTAGTGATCCAGGTATCCCACAGCAAACCCAGCCTTCTGCTCACTGCACTGTTCAATGTAAAATGCCACATCAAGCCAAAGGTATAGAAATTAAAAGCTGTATCCACCAGATTTGTCAACAGCAATGGTGAAAGTTCATTATCACAGAATCACAGGATATGCTGAGTTGGAAGGGACCCATCAGGATCAGAGTCCAACACTCAGCCCTCCACAGGACCACTCCCAAGAGTCGCATCATGTGCCCAAGAGTATTGTCCAAACACTTCTTGGACTCTGTCAGGTTTGGTGCTGTGACCACCTCCCTGGGGAGTCTGTTCCAGTGCCCAACCACCCTCTGGGTAAAGAGCCCTGACAC